AAAGCATCACAAGAATGGAATAAGATTAAAAGCAAAGGTGTAGCAGAAATTGATGATATAATCAGAAAATACTTGACCACTCAATTTAATCTATATGACATACAAACAATGAGACCAAGATATTCTCCTATGTCTAGAGAAGAACTAACACCCCCCCTTCCTACTATTCATTCAGTAAAACCTATATCAGAAATCCCTATTAATGCAATAGCCCAACAAAAGGCGGCAAGTGAAATAACAGTAGCTGAAAAAAACTAATTGAATCTGAGCAAATATACAATATTAAAACTGATTCTTAACTACGTCATGATATGTATGAGAAAATAGTAAACTTTCAAGCTCAAATTAAATCAAATCAGGACAGGATTCTCAGATTAAAAAGGAATGCAAAATACATTTAAAATTGTAAAGAAAAAAAAACAGAAAATACTTGCTGAAAATCAGGAGGTTATACGATATGATAAACCCAGTCGTCTATCCCTTTTTTTTAAACATCCAGAATTACATGACCATATTCATGATTCAGTCGAGTTCTGTTCAGCTGATGAGAAACGATAAAGAGAAGTGGTGAAAGTTCAGGTCATCAAAAATTTGCGTAAAAACCTTGAGGAAAAATATAATGTCTATATGACGCGGACAACATCAAATAATTATCTGTTACCACGCTAATCCAATTCCATTATTGCGAAAGCTTATCATCATCCAGCATAGATCGCAGTAGCTGGAGTTTCACGAACAGAGATACGTGATCATGCTAATGGTCATTATTGCCTTGCATCTGTTAAATGTGCGAGGCAATTTGTAACTGTCTTTGCTGATATGTCAGTTGTCATCTTCCAAGATGACAAGGCAAATATAGATCTTGGGGTACCTGCTGTAAGTCAGACCTTTCAAACTTTGCAGTCAGTTTACAAGCCTGTTCGTGTGGCTGATCATGATTTTTCTGTAGGGTATGGCAAAAGTTAGTTCTATCAGTTTATCTTATAATTAAACCAAATGATTTAAATGATGAACTACGAACAGGCCAACTTGCCATTTTTGTATGATGCTAATGTCCTTTGGTATATCCTCTCTCACACATATGCAAGACCTCAAAAATCTCTCTTTAAATATCCAATATGATGATGTGTTGAAGACCGACAGAGAAATTCGACCAATCTGGGTTTTATTAGTAAACAGAGGACTAGATGAGAATCTGAGACATTTAAAAAATATCAAGACATATTGCCATCTTTTTTGAAAATTTAATTTGGATTATCTGACTATACGGATACACACTCCAGGGCAATCCAAATATAATTCGGTCAAAAGAGGTATGATGACACTATCCGGCAAGCTAGCCTCCACCTCCTAAAATATTAGCTAATATATATCAGCGCCCTAATGGTTACCAATTAATAAATTATTTTTATTATAATTTATTTTAAATTAGAAATAATTTAATTTAATTTAATTTATTTTTATTGTTTTGGTATTTTTAATATTATTGAAATTTAAATTTTAAAAAGATATATATATATAAAATCTTTTAGTATAAAAAAGCCATATTAAATATCAATTTAAATATAATAAATTAATATTATGTAATAACATTTATTTTAATTTTATATAATTAAATAAATTTTTTAAATTCATTATTATAATAAAAACAATTTTGTATTCCTAATTGATAACATTTATTGTAAATAAGTATTTATTTGCTTTTTATTTTCTTTATAAAATTTCCAATTTAAAAAAAAAAAATTTCTTCTAAGCAAATCTCTATTCTTTTAATGAGTTTTATTTTTTTAAAAAAGTATATATATTTATATATTACATTGCTTATTTGAGTAAGTAATTAAATAATATCGCATAAAAAATCTATGAATCATCTTCACAAAATTCTTTTTTTATTCCTAAAAGTCTTACATGTTGTAATAATGGCAAGTCTATTTGATAAAACAATAGATTAAGGTGGTATAAATGAAATCAAAAAATTATTTTATTAGATTTAATGTCTTACCAGCTAGAATTTGTTTACAAGACAAAGAAACTTTTGTATATTCCAAATTAAGTAATGTCAAATTCACAAGTCCTATATTAAAAAGTTAAACCATTTGAAATTGATATATAACAGCAAGAAAATAAAGGGAAAAAAATAATATAATAATTAGTAATCATTTACCTTTAAGTTCTCTCACACCTTTATCAGTAACACGCGTGTATCCAACATTGAGATACTTTAACCCCCTATTAGAAAATGCAGCTTTGCCAATAATTCGCAATGATTCATTTTTAATATTTGTTTTGTTTAAACTTAATTGCGTGATTCCTCGTATATCTGAGTTACAAAGTGTTGAATTTAATTTTAATTGTTGTATTAGTATCAGAAAAAATTTGATAAAAATTAACCTTGTATGTTAGCCAGACCGAGATCTGTAATGTTGGTTCGATCAAGATACAATTCGGCCAAATTCTCTAAATCTAGTATAAAATAAGAAATCGGTGAGATAATTTCCCTATGAATGTTAAGTCAAATGTCAAATCGAGTGTTTGAACATACCTTTCAAAGCTGTCATTCCAACATCAGTTAATTTTGTTCCAGACAAGGATAAAAATGTTAGGCTACCATAAAAAGAAAGAAAGAAAGAATAATTTATGAATATATATATATAAAACAAAAAATCATAAAAATAAAAATAAACAACGAACCTTTTTATTCTGCCAATGTGCATTACACCAGCATCCGTAACATTTTTAAAATTTTCTAAGTCAAGCTTTCGTAAAGGCAGTCCTATAAAAAAAAAAAAAAAAAAAAAAAAAAAAAAAAAGAATCTTATATAATAACAAACATTATCACTTGCTTACCAGAAAAGTCTTGCAATATATCATCCATTTCTTCTTCTTGATTCGGAAAGTTGATTTCATTAAGGGATTTGTACTCTAATTCAACAAAATGATCAAATAATGGTCAACATCAAATCATTAACGTCAAACTCTAAACAATTATTTATAAATTACCTTTTGCCATCCATTTCAACCCGAATTGACCAACTCCTGTAGTTTTAGTTAAGTTTAAACCAATGAGATTCTTAAATCCACATAAAATTTTCATTACATCTTGATCACAAAGATTAGTTCCGGAAATATTCAAAATCTCTAATTTTTGGAAACTTGAAGGTTTAACTGGAACTTGAGGTGGTGCTAGCTGAGTGCTGCATAGATTGAGAGAACGAATATTCTCCAATGCTATATTTGAATGAAGTAATTATTAATAAACTTATGACTACTATATAATTAAATTAAGTATTCAAAGTAATACTTACGTTGCAAATCTGCAAATACAGTTTTACCACAAACTCCAGCACAGTACGACAAATCTAATACTTCCAATTTGTTTGCAAATCTACAATTTGCAAATAGATCTCTTAAACCAGCAATTGTCACTTTTGTCTTTGATAAATTTAGGTCGACTAAATTATTAAACTCTATTTTGGTTTTTTTTTAAAAAAAAGGAAAAAATTTATCGAGAATTAATTTATCGAGAATTAAAGGTTTAGTAAATAAAACATTCACATCTTGCTAGAAATTGTTATAAATACCTTGTATAAACTGAAGAGCACGATCCCTTACCCTACAAGATGAAACATCTAGCGATTCTAAATGTCTCAACCCTAAACAACTCGAAGGTAAAATATAAACGTTAGGAAATACAAAAAATAATAAAAAAAAAGGTAATTCGACAATATGGACCTTGTAATCCTCTTAATCCCGTATCGGTTAAGACTTGGCATGCTCTCAAGCTTACTCTTGTAACTGAAGTTCGTTGCGTGCTACCAATAATTTCTAACAATGAATCGGATGCCCGCGGATAATTATCTAATATAATATTCTGCAAATTACTGTGTTCATAATATAAAAATGATCAAATCTCACTAAAAAAATATAATATTTAATAAAAGTACGTAGATGAAATATTGTCTAACCAATTCGCGAATCGTTTAAAAGTAAGAGCATCCAATTTTTCCATTTTTATCAATTCTGCCACTAATAATTCGCCGATATGGGAAGATACATTAGCAAGTGAATCTATTATTCTGACACTTGTTGCAGAAGTCAACAGCACTAATAAAAAAATTTTTAAATTTATTGTAATCGTAAATTTTAAATTAATCATTGACGCCTGAAAGAGGAGAATTTCATAATTACCGGCAACATTGTAAGCACATTTAGATCTTAAACTTTCGATTTCATTGACCCTGTGTTTCGCATTGTCATCTCCTACATTATTTTCTTCGGAATTCACTCTTGCTTGTATAGCATCAGCAATTCGCTTCCTTTTTTCTTCATTTTCTTCATTCACTGCTAATATAATAATATGTAAACTAGAGATCACATTAATTAATAAGCCACCAGAAAATCGGTCTTACTTACTTTCATCATCAGAGTCATCAGAATTCTGTTGAGGATCAGGATTGTCAGTTAAACGATGACCTCCCCCGAAAAACGGTCTTGGTGGAAGACGACCTAAATGTTGCAGATGCCTGGGACCTTGCATTGGCCCAACCAGGTGATTCGGTGGAATGTTCGGGATTTGAGGTGGTAAATTAGGTCGAACAACCGGAAAGTGAGGGGGAACATTAGGTGGATTATTACTTGGTTGTATATGTTGTCCACCGGGAAAGTGAGGAGGGGCATTATTTGTTGGAATTGCAGGTTGCATAGGGATCTGCGGTGGTAACGTAGTTCGTATACCTGGAGGAACGTTAGGAGTCTGTGATGACGGTGATGAATCATTTTGGGGCATTGGCTGTTGTGAAACAACAACCGATGGGATGTCACATCTCACAACATTTAAAGAAGCATTCGGTACCAAACCAGCATCTGCAAGAGTTAGATCCATTTGATCATCTCCAAAAACTTGTCTTGGAAATGACACCAATTGGAATTCTTTACTTGGTTCACTCTCGTTAGTGACCCATTCAAATAAATTAGATATTCTAACAGAAGTTGCAAAAGATTGTCGAATAGGTCGACCAGTTGATAAACGAATCCGGATTAGAGTAGTATCCTGTGTGGGCATCGATGAAGTTCCAGTTTGATAAGAAGTAGAAGCAGCTGGATTGTTTGTACCAATCTCGATATCTTCTTGATGTGACGTTTTCCGTTGTTTAATCTTTTCCCTATCTTCTTTGATTGCCAATAATGCTTTTTTACGAGCTTCACGTTCCAATATTTTTTGTTTCTTGGCTTCTTCTAATGCTTTTGCTGCTTTAGCTTTACTTTCTCTTGTATACTCTGAATCGTCAACTGGTAAATGACGAGATATTACAGTTTGTTGTGGAGTTGATTGTGACATTAGACCTGACTATAAATGAATTAAAATAGTTATAATACAATTATAAAATATATAATATATTTATTTTTTTGAATGAATATTCACCACAGTACTAGACGCTATTGGATCATATGGATTTCCTAGATATAAAGAAGGAATATGACCTGTTGTAGAACGAGAATTTCCAGAGTTTGGATCCAGAGAATTAAGGATCCTTCAATTTTTTCAATTTAAATTAGATATTTACAAGTTATAAAATTTTTTAATCGCTTTTTATAAATCATTTTTATTTGTTGAATAAAGAAATAAAGATGAGAAACCGACCATTCAGTCGCAGCTTCGACAGTTCTATTGCATTCAACTGCTTTTCGACAGACCCATTCGTCAAAACCAAGGGAAAGTAATTGAGCCAACATGAAGTCCTTTTCTTGACTATTTGAATCCATTGGAAATTATTCAATGAATGGTTAGAATGAAGAAAGTATGGAGGAGATTTTTTTTTTGATTCTTGGAAAAAAAAAATTGATAATAAACGGACACGATAATAAATATAGAAATATCTCAATTGTGAAATTAGGTCGAAGGCTGAATTTATACTGATGCACAAATACTGCGGTTTACTGGTTACACAACGAATTTTAACTGACGATTAAGAATTAATAAACTTTATTTTTCCAAATTTAAAGGTAAAGATTTAAAACATTTCTCTGCACATTTTTCACTTTTTATACGCCGATTAAATGTTTTCATTTTCAAATAAAGTTCGCCATGGGTAAAGTAAAAGCAACAAAAAAAAGCCAACGTCATCACTAAGAAAGACAAGGATCTCAGAAAAGAAATATATGGAAAGAGATAATGAACGTTTCGCAATATATTATAAAATTACGAAGATTGAATCAATAAAAAAATTCAAAGTACAATCATCATTAAAGTCCTAGATCATTATGATATGAAAGATCAGTAAATTTGAAAGTCGGTAGATTGCACAAGGTGTGGCAAAATCAATGAATTCTCGATGTTATGGTTAGAATACTCAACGGAAATGTTGAAGTGGAGGAGTCGATATATTTGATTGGATAAATAAAATGAATAAGCCTTTTCTTCCAATTTTGACAATGAATGAGCTTAAAAAACTATTGTTTTGACAGCGCAGGCAGAGAAACCAAATATGGCTTTAAATCTCAATGATTATGATCCGAATAAAGGGGAAATTCATTCGGTATTACCAGCATATAATAATCCTAATGGTCCTATTACGTATAAATACGAACCTCGATCTTGCACACCATTGTCAAGGTATAACTTATTATAAAATTTTCTTCCTATTCAGTAACGACAAGAATAATTCATATCTCATCTTATCTGCTACGTATGCTTTCATCGAGAAAGCAATAATGGACGAGGAATTTATATGAATTCGTGAAGGATCAGAAACGAAAAAAACATGGATGAATTTGAACAAATTAGTAATTATATACTGAAATTATATATTGTTAGGTCGAATAAAAGCTAGAATGGAAATGTAAACCGGTAGTTTATTGCATTATTTTATGATCCTCTACAATTTGCAGCAACAAAAATCTTGTCAAGTGAATCTTTTAGCGAATTCGATAAACTGTAAATTGCTATCCATATCGTTATCTATATTTGTACGTCAAATAAAGATAACAATTGAATATTTATTAAAAGATATATTAAAACATTCATTTTTTTCGTTTTAAAAATTATTCATAATATTTTTTATCACTCTTAATTTCTAAATTCGTTCAAATCCCTAAATTTGAGAGAACTCTGTATTCAAAACTAAAAATTAATCATGTAAGTTTATTTCGAAGGATTCACCACAAATGAATTTTCAGAATTAACTTGTTTGACGAAAAATTACTACGACTACGTTTAATGCCGGCCGAGCTTAATTCCGGCTAAAATAATTTACCATCAAAACAATATCCCGAATTTTCTTGCGGAAAATCATTAATCATCATTGCTTAATATAAAAATAAACAAGAGCTAAAAAAGGAATAAATATTATAATAGAAAGTATCATTTTGACTCCAGAACCATATTTTTTTCAATTTTTTTGGCGAGAAACTCGTGCACACCCTGGATCGTCTCACATGAAGTTACACAGCGCCGGAAAAATAAAATCTGGTTTTTTCCCACAGGAAACTCTTTAAAACTTAAAATTTTCAAATCATATCTATTCTGTAAATTTATCATAATTTTATACCTTGCTTAAAAGAACAGTGATCTTTTTAAGAATCATAAATTATCATACTCATACATTAAAAATATTTTAAATATTTTGTTTTCAACAAAGAGAAGGGAAATTTACAATGATGAGTCAAAGACCTTTGATTGAATTTCTGAAAGAACTCACGACGGATAATGATGATATGCGGATATATAATGCGTTACTGGAACGATGTCTAAATACATCTATATCTGATCTGGAGAAGTTCAACAACAAACTGTCGCAGCTTCTACGCGACTTTCCTGATATTTACATACCAACCCTGCAAACCTTAATTTCTTACCTCTGTGATGAATCTTCGCGTAAAAAAACATTACGCCAATCCTTACGAGAAAGATGGAACACCGCGATTTCCAATTTCATCTCATCGTTAATTACCGCTGTCATCATGCAAAACTTAGACCACTCCGACTTTCCTGGCTTTGGAGAGCTCCTACACGATTGCATAGAGCTTATCTGGAAAGTTCAAAATGTCACTTTGACCAGTCATAAAGGATACAATTTGGCTTTCCAGACGACAAAAAGCTTCTTCAACGCAATTCTTAACGCGGGTGTCCTGGGCATTTTGATAACAGACCCTTCCGGTCGACGCTGTATAAAACGAATTCTGTTCGACTTTAACATGATTAAAGAAATTGAACGGGAAGAACTACTTAGAGCAATAGACTTAGTCGCGGCTATTGTGGAGAAATGTTCTGAGCACGAGAAAGATTCCCCTAATCTTTCGGAATGGTTTTCGATATACAAGGCATGCACATCATTGTTGGAATCCTTGAGGAAATTCAAAAATATGGAAAAGAATCAGTTAATAAACAAGAAAGGATTGCCGCCGCCCACTTTGGACGATATGATTAAGCTTGATAATAAGGAATCTAGGACGAACAGAAAACAGTTCGTGAATTCCCTTATGGTGAACAGCAACTCATTACCTGTGTCCACACAGGATGAACGACATCTCACGATATTAGGGATGAAGGCACCTCAAAAATTATCTGTTTTGCCCAATTTTTTGCAAGCAATTGAACAACGAAAAATAGATTCATTTCGAGTAAGTGTAATCGTGATTTTGTTTTATTGCGCAATTGTAATAAAAATTGACAAAACTAAATTCAAACTTCAATTAGAATGTAATGCGATTCTTGTCATGCGCAGGTTGTCGCAAACAAGCCCTCGTTTATTTTTCTCCTGACAAATACTTTTGGCTCATAGAGAATGAAAATGAAAGAACATCAAGGCCACCAGATCGCCTTTTCCGTCTTCCATTCGAATTTGATGACGATGACAGGCTTGGACCATGGGATATCCTGCTCAGCGGAGACACGATCCAACATATGCGACAGTTGCAGACACCTCATGTGATTAAAGCAGTCATGAAAAAACTTGGACAGATATCATCTGGGGAATGGGATAAGCACAAACTGCGATGTGCGGTAAAAACTCACGCCATCCCTGTATATGAAATAGAAATTCCTGGAAATAATGACCTGAAGATCCTCTGGCAGGTCGATTATGGGTTTTCCATTCGTAGTTATTCACTCACACAATTTGTAAGGGTGTGGGCCGTCACTAATCAGGATCAGATTCTCAAAATATTAGAAAACCTTTTGATTGTTCATCAGGTTTATACATATGAGCACAAATACCGATGTAATGTCGAAAAGATAGATGGCGTAATTTTACCAAAAACCTTTGAAGATGAGGAGGAAATAAGGTCCATGGAAGAAAAATTGGAAGACTCAAAGAAAAATGATGAGAGGTTATTAGATGTTCATAAGATGCTTGTTACAAATAAGTTTGTCCCTTTATCAACGGTAAAGTACACGTATCTTTGATATATAAAGATTAAATAGAATGCATTTTAATAAGTGTTATAATTTCTTGCAGAATTTGTACAAATCGCTCGTCTTGGGTGGTTTCGATTTTACCTTTCAGGTATCCAAAATAGAATACGAGATTATCAACAATCCTACGTCAGCAATTGTCATTGGTCGATCGGGTTAGTGGTCTATTTTAAATATTATAACGAAAAAAATAGATTTTAACGACGTTGTTTTTATTGACATAGGGACCGGTAAAACCACATGTATTTTGTTTAGACAGGTTGCTTCACATCTAAATAGTAAATTATCCAATACTACATCCCGTGACAGGTTTTCTCACAAAAGACAGATTTTCATTACAGTGAGCTACAAGTTGTGCCGTCGGGTGAAGGAATACTTTAACAAGTTGCGAGAGTCTGCGGAGCTTGCTGGTAAAAAAATGTCTATGGCACAGTTTAATGAGGATATGAAGAATAAAGAGAAGGAAGAGGGAGATAAATCTGTAAACAATAACACATTGCTCGAAGAGGGTGATGAGGAAAAGGAGCTGAGTGACATTCCAAACTCATTCCGTCAACTAAAAGATCATCATTTTCCGTTGTTCATTACCTATGAAAAGTTTTCCAAAATGCTTCAGGGAACCTACTGTATTGATATACTGAACCTGATCAAACGAAAACATCTAGATCAAGATAATGCGGATTTATATGAAGGAGAGGAATTCCGACCTTCTATTACGAATACAATCAACATTTCATCTGAGCACTTAGTAGACTATCTTAAATTTAAAAGTGATTATTGGCCTCACTTGAATACCTATTATAAACAAAACCTGGAAAGTGGGTTGGTCTACTCCGAATTTTCTATTATTAAGGTATGCAATTATATGTAAAATCCCCATTAAAAAATAGTTGATCTTCAAACCTCACTAAATGCACCCCCCTTGGGAAAATTGTGAAAGTTGAAAAAAATGTGTATTAAAGTGGGTGTGTACTTAAAGAGAAAATTTTTATATGTTTGGGGACTGAATGAAAGCTTGCATCTAGAGTATAATGTGTGCATTTAGAGAGGTTTGTCTGGATATTTATAGAACGTTGTATTTTTACCTTTATCATTCTCAAATTTTCTCAAAGGGTTCAAATCCCGATGTGGATTACCTCTCAAGAGAAGATTATAATGCCATCAGCACCAAGAAATACCCAGCATTTCGTAACAATCGTGACCAGATTTATGATTTATTTCAACATTACGAAAAAATGATGAAGCGGAATGGCCATTATGATTCGATGGATAGGTAAGATCAGAAGAGATGCATATTGATTGTTTGTTATAAATAAATTTCAAGCTCAATTATTTTTCACAGGACACTAGCCATGTTACGCTGCGCAAAAATGAAAACACTTGGTGGTCTGCAAATTCATGAAGTATACATTGACGAATGTCAGGATAACCAAATCGTGGATCTTGCATTGATCTTAAAGATTTTTGAGCGTGCTGATGCTATTTTTTTAGCTGGAGATATAGCGCAATGTATTGCCCCAGGGTCTTCTTTCCGATTCCAGGGTATTCATTAATGCTCTTTAAGAATTAAGGTTATCCTTTCTATCTCAGTTCCTAAAGTTTCAAAACGCTAATTTAGATTTACGCGCCTTGATGTATCAGTGGGAACTCTCTCGAATTCAAGCCAATCACAAACAACGCAGCAATTTAAAACCGAAACAATTTGAGCTAAATATTAATTACCGTTCTCATAATGGAATCCTTCGGCTGGCTGCTTCTGTGATTAAACTAATCTGGGAATTTTTCCCCAATTCCATTGACCACCTGTCAGAAGAACGTGCTGAGATTGGTGGTCCGCTGCCTGTCTTCTTTGACGGGTTTCAAGAACAACATTTTGAAGACTATTTTGCACCACAAAACATTTCTAGTAATAATATCGAATTTGGCTCCGAGCAGGTGATTATTGTACGTAATAACGAAGCTAAATCGAGAATAAGAAATCTAATTGGTAACGCTGGACTTATAATGACAATATTCGAAGCTAAGGGCATGGAATTTGACGATGTGCTGTTGTATAATTTCTTTTCTTGTTCACCTGCACAATTAAAGGTACAATGTTATATATTTGTTTCGAAGATTTCTTATATTTTACTTAATGATTATTTCTTGGTTTGCTATATACATACTTTGCTTTCAGTGGCGAGTATTTCTTTCCACTTTGAAGGACAATTCTGAAGGGATTCAGGCCTTTTCTCACGAAACGCATTACATCCTTTCTTCAGAACTCAAACATCTTTATGTCGCAGTGACCAGAGCTCGACAGCATATATTGATATGTGACGATAATGCTGATTATAGTAATCCAATTCGAAAATACTGGGATAGTCTTGGGCTGATTAAAGTTATCAAAAATGTGAACGAAATAAAAACTTTCTTTACCTTGGCTAAAAAGAGCACTTCGCACGAATGGAATCAACTTGGGAAAAACCTTTTTGAACAGCGGCTATATGAGCAGGTGAAATATATTGCTTTACCAATATCATGCAATTAATTTAACTAAACGGATGAAATAATATTACATTTAGGCTATTTTCTGCTTCGAAAAGAGTAATAACAAAGAGAGCCGCGATCTAGCTGAGGCATATAATTTTCAACAGATTGCTAGGAATGCTTCCGATAAAAACATTGCCAAGTCCAATTTCATTCTTGCTTCTAAGGCCTTCAGAGTGTGTTCCCGGCTCCCCCAGGCGGCTTCATGCTATAAGGTATATTATTAATTTTCTCTCTTATTAGATTAGCGTTTATATTTTCGTTTTTGTATTCTTTTTAATATCCTCTTTTTTGAATATTGATACGTTCTTACATATCTGAAAATTTTAGAATATCGGCATGTATAAAGAAAGTGGTGAAGTTTATGTCGAATGTAATATGTTTGAGCATGCTGCAGATTGTTTTATTAAAGCCAAGATGAGGGATAAGGCTGGAGAGTGTTTTGAAAAAGCCGAGAAATATAATGATGCTTTTGTTACATATAAAGATGGTGGTCTTTATGGAAAAGCAATTGATTTAATCCAAAGGTAAGCCCATATATAAAGTATTGAACAATTGTTTACATATAAAATGTCAAAATTAATTTGTTCTTTATTGAATTATTTTAATAAGGCACAGAAAAGAAATTGATAAGAATATGATTCGCACTGAAGCTGAAAATCTACGTTCACATGGTAAATATAAAAAAGCTGCCGATGTGTTCATTTGCTTGGATAATGATGAGGATATCATTAAGGCATTACGATGCCTCTTGCACCTATGCAGAGTTAATGTACTAAAAAACACAATAACGGATATTACAATTCCAAGTACTTCACAGGAGTTAGAAGGTCTTCTTTCTAAGATAGCTGAATTCAGATCGCAATTACTGGAGGAATCTGATCTAATGGAAGAGTTTCAGTTATATTCAGCTTGTTTTAACCAGGACCTTGATAAAGTTTATGAGTATATGCAAATTTTTAAAACAAACGAAAATTTTGTTTTCGAGTTTCGTGCGGTAAATATATGGCTGCAGATTCTTCCCCAATCTGGTATTCAGGCCGAGTATTGGCACAAACGGTTGCAATGCCTGCTTCGGCTATGTGATCTGGTCTTTCCTGTTATAGTTCAACGTCGTTTTATTGATATTGAAAAATTCTACAAGGATTTCGAGAAAGTTTTTATTATAAGCAATGTGAAGAATCGCTTGCAGAAACGCAAAATTTCTCCTGACAATTCATTTGTTCGTCTCATAAGCGATATGTGTGAAAAAATCAATAAAAACATGATTAAAAAAAATCCGACAAAGACAATGGATAATCAGCACGTTTATGATGTACATATTGTGCATCAAGCCATATCACAATTTCTTGCTTCACATGTCTATGAACTTATCTTGGATGCAGGCAAAAAGGGTAAAGATATTCCAGAAATAGGTTCTTATATCTGTAAATATACGAACTGTCGATATATACCAAAATGCCGAGATCATCATGTAATCTCGACACCATTAATTTTACATCAACGCCTGAAACTTGCTTGCCTCCAATGCACTGTAGTGCGACGGTTGGAATTATTATTTCGCCAAAAACTTTTTAGTTCTGAGCAAACTAAAGAATTTTTTGGTATACAAAGGTGGTGGGTTGAAAAATTAATCAAAGTTCATATACGCTATCAATCCCCGCAAACAAGTTGCCCAGAAGTTACTCATATGGTAATCGCCGGAATACCAAAACATACACGTAGTGGGTTTATTAATCTTGCCCATAGTAAATGGTTACGGGACGAGTTTAACAACGGGAGCGACTTTGAGGTTATGTTAAAATACGTATTCTTATTTCAGCAGTTGCGAGACGAGTGGGGCTTTAAGATTTTTGATTTGAAGATGTCACAAGTAAGAGAGATTTCACAACCTGACGATTTGCCCGCCGGTTTTGAATTCGAAGGATATCGTCAAGCGATTCCGGTTGGGAAGCGACTTTCGTCATTCTTCTATTTTCTCTACTCTAATCGAGTGATCGAAGCGGTCTCAAATTTAAATTCTTTTATCCAATACGCTATAAGCAACGCTCAAAAGATTAACTTGACTAGTATTTATGCTTTAGGAGACCTTATAACCCTTATAGAGTTATCAACGTCTTTAGTTTTCGCAGTTGGTCCTAGGAATTGCAATTTTTGCCTCCCTCGAGCTTATCTTGTCAATTACTTTGACAGATTCACTGCGGCGCCGCTAATTCCGAGCCGACGAACTGCTTATAATATCAAAGATTATCTGGCTGCGATCAAAAATGCTCTCAATCAAATTCAACTGCTTCTTGATTTTCTTATTTGTAAGGAACCGATTAATCCGTCGATCATCCTTCGACTGATACGTCTCTTGGTTCTCATCGGCTTAAACGAATCCACTTTTGAACAGGAGGTCTTTAAAAGTTTTGAACGCTTGCACAAAAAAATTGAAATCTTTCCCGTGAGAATCAGGAATTACTTGAATGAGAAAAGCTTTGTATGCCTCGTTGACGTTCTACATAAAGACATCCAGGAGACGGGATGTGACTCTCTTGTCATAGTTTACAACTACCTGGGTTCATCAAGATTTTATAACTTGGAGAAACGTGGTATTGTGAAGATTATATTTAAATCTATTGAAACATTCCATATTGCTCTTCGCCAGATTATGTCACCAGTAGCTAGGGACGGTACTGCGGTCTCGGAAAATCAGTTATTAAATAATTTGGATTGGTCTTGCCGAATCAAAGAAATCTGGAATTTCCAGTTTCGCGATAATCCCCATGACCAAAAAGCAGCAAAAAAAATACAAACCTGGTTTCGCGAGACTCAAGAGCGACGAAAAAGGAGTGTTCGCGACCCAATTTTGGAAAAGATTTACAATGAAATAAGCAATTTCTGCCAGGAGTTTGCCGTAAAACAGAAGGGTGAAATAGCGGTACGCAAGTATAATTTACTCTTGAGAGGTTCGACGGTTGACACAATCGTTGAATTGATCAAATTACAGAGCATTATGGATAAAAACAATAATTATTTGGGAAAATTGAAAAAAAGAGGATATGATCTTGAAAAATGTGTGGAGCTAGAGGAAGAACTAAAGTTTGTTGACATTCATTAGTTTTTTTTTCTCCTTATCATTCAACTCATTTGAATTTGTGTTTTCAGGTATGTCCAACAAGAAGTTGATCAGCTACTAGATTCATTATCTATTACCGAAAACATGGAAAAACATGAGGAAGCAGATGTTGAATGGTTGGAAAACGAATTGCAACAGGCAACGAGTGTCATCGACAGGGTTCTGGAATGGATAGAGGAATATGAATCATTGAGTTTAGATCTATAATAACAAGTGTGTAGCATTTTTTTTTAAAAAAAAAAAAAAAAACAAAACAAAAAATTGGTCCATTGAACGCTTTCTTGAGTTTTTGTTTTTTTTTTCTTATAAAATAATTAAATAATTTGATTTTTGACCGTTTAAAGTCAAGTAATAAAATAGATCATTTAAAAATATCATGGAATTAATAGCATTTTTATAACAAGTGAAAGTTTCTAGCTACAAAGCAACAATACCATTTTTCGATTTGCATGATTAACGAAAACGATGTCATTTCTCTGAATAATTTTTTTTTTTAAAAAAATATTCAATATCAGTTTTTTTTTTAAGACGAAAATAAAATAATTTACGTTATACAGAACAACTATTCTTCACTGCTTCCGATGTCCTATAAGTTTATATGGTAATTAGGATACACGAACCAAAGAATCGTGGCCAATTCTCATAGTTTATTTTTAATGGTATCTCAAACCCGAAACTTTTCGCCCAAGTGAAATCCTCTATGTCCGAAACCTTTACTTTGGAAGAAAATCTTTGTAATTTCGCCGAAACATTAATCTGTGACAAAGGATAAAGAATTGAATTAGAAGCAGGTTACCGAATGCAGTGTGGTATTCTCGTTGAGTGATTTGTCAATTCGTTGGCAATTTATATATTTATTTTCCCAAGAAATAATAATATATTTATATCTCATTGAACTTCATTTCATTATGAAGTTGTAATCCCACTAAAATATTGTCATTCAACTTCACATGAAGCTCAATAATATAATATCTTACAATTAAGACAGGATTTGCGCATTCTTCGTTATTTTTGCGATATAAAATTCATTTTTTTCCTTAAATTGATCAATTCTTGAATTATATATACAATATATAATCCATCAACTTCTGATGTAGTGGCTTGAAATTTCTGGCTTAACGCCTTAATGCAGCCTCATTGATCGAAAGTTTAGAATTCAAGAATTATCTTTTAAAAGATGAGATGATATTTTAAATATTACAGAATTCTTTTACGGAATAATTATTTTTTTTTTTTTTAGATAGCTTAGCCATATTTTGTCCAAGTGAACAATACGGTTGTGCCTGGCCTCAACTTCGAGCAAAATCCAGTACTGCGGGTTTAGTCGAGCCATTTTTTTGTGCATGCCCGAAATAAATTTAATCCATGCCTATGTTGAGAAAAACTTTTTTATATCGTGTGCCATGATTAATTAATTCATTCATACGTGTATTAAATGAACCAAGCCAAGTAAATGTGGCGGTTAGAGTGTCTAGCTACTAAGCCAAATCAAACATTAAAGAAATAAACAATGGCTTTTACATCCTCCTTGTTATTTTATGAACTTTTTTTTTTTGTATTTATATGAAGGGAATTTAATCTTCAAATATTTCAATTAAAAAAAATTTTGAACCATAGTTAAATTCCCATAGGATAAAAAAAAATTCCTGACTTTAAAAAAGAGAGAGAAAAAGAAATGAAATCCGCTCCCAAATACAGTATAGCATTCACACTCGCCACGTTGTTATTGCTGTCCGCTGCGCCATATTTGTCGCTGGCAAGAACTGCTGCAGAATGGAGAACTCGAACCATTTATCAATTATTAACAGATAGATTTGCTCAAACACCAGGTCAAGAAAATCCTCAACTATGCTCTAATAATGAAAATGAATATGAAATTAGACATTATTGTGGTGGAACTTTTTCGGGAATTATTAACAAGCTCGATTACATTAAAGATTTGGTATTTTATCATATTTTTTATTTTTAATCCAAATTTTTGGTTTGTCGTATAATTCTTAAGAATCAATTTAGGGTTTTGATGCGTTTTGGATTAGTCCGGTTGTAAAACAAGTTGAGGGTGAAACGAGATATGGTGTTGGATGGCACGGATGTAAGCTCATTGACAAACCCTTTTTCCCCAAGTAAAAAGTAAGCATTGGCTAATGAATCATTATAATCTACACCAATAGATTGGGCCCAAGACCTTTATCAAATTAATCCACACTTTGGTACGGCTGATGAGCTCAAGAAACTCATTAAAGCTGCTCACGAGAAAGACATTTGGGTTATGATTGACGTAGTGCCGTATGTTTAATCTACATTTTTATTAGTTTTTTTATTCTGACATTATAATTGACCTTTTTTTTTCTGATAGAAATCATATGGGTCCACAGGATGGAAAAACTCCGTGGACCGAAGAATATGTTAAAATATATAATCCATTTAATAAAATTGAAAATTTTCACTATTATTGTGACATTAATAATCCTGGGGATCAAGGAAATGTTGAATATTGTAGTCTTGGTGGTGATTTGCCATTGCCCGGTATGTTTTTTTTAAAAAACATAAATATTTGACGAAATTGTTTTTTAAAAAAAAAAAAATGTTAACCTTTATGCATCCATGTAAACAGATCTTGACACGGAAAATCCCGTAGTGGCCTCTGAATTAAACAAATGGATCAATTGGTTGGTCAAAGAATTCGGTTTCGATGGTATACGTATCGATACAGCGAAGCACGTTCGGCATAGTTTTTGGGATGCGTTCACTCAAAGTAGTGGAGTATTTTCAATCGGTGAAGTAGCGGATTCTAATGCAGGATTTGTAGGATCTTATCAAGGGCATATGGATAGTACTTTAGGATATCCCCTATTCCAAAAAATACAACCTTTATATTCTAATCCTGGTGCTAATATGTATGAAATAAGAAATGCCATAAATGATAATAGAAAATTCTTTAATGATACTAGTGTACTAGGAAATTTTATTGATGGTCATGATCAACCGGTAATGTTGAGTTTAAACATCTTTAAAAATTAAAATTATTCATTAATTCATTTTTAAATTGTTGATTATAGAGATTTAACCATTTAACTCAAGATAAAGTTTTGGTTCGTAACGCGTTGACCTTTATCATGTTAATAGATGGTAAATACTCATTAATTTTACGTTAGCATTGATTAGAGAAATTTATTTAATATGATTTCTTAATTATATAGGTATTCCGATTATATATCAAGGAACCGAACAAGAATTTACAGGACGTTCAACGGGAAGTGATCCGTTTAATCGTGAAGCGCTCTGGCCATCTTCTTATTCGCAATCGTCTCCCTCGTACAAATTCATCGCTACTCTCAATTCATTCCGTAAAGCTTTACCTGGAACATTCTTCTCTTCATTATCTATCGAAGCTTGGATAGATGAACATATTTATGCATTTATTAAAGGCAAGGCATTAATCATCACCTCTAATTATGGTGGAAATAATCCAAATAGAGATTTAGTTATACAAGGAAACGGAAGATGGCCTGTTGGTGATGTTTTAGTTAATATTGTAAGATGTGAAGAAAAGATTACTATTGATGAATCTCATAATGTCCCGGTTCGAATTAATGGTGAACCAAAAGTACTTTATCCCGAGAAAGACTTGAAAGGTCTTGGCATTTGTGGTCTATAATCTATTTCTATTTTTTTTTTTTTTTAATATTATATTTTATGATAGTTTATAACTTTAAAAGATCTATCTAATCACTATTCACACTTTTTTTATAACTTAATAAATTTAATCGAAAACGTGTCAAATGTCGTCATTTACATCACGGGACAATATAAAATAATTTAGAACTTGTTCGTTACTATGCATGTCAGTCCTAATCGCAATCCCAAAGAATGTTGCTCTTTAATTCAAAGTTCCCTAACCTAAATTTCTAACTAAGAGAGTATCTAATTTTTATTTTTATTATTATTATTTTTATGTCCCAAGTTTTCCTTCTTGGCGGATTGACACCCCCAGTTCTTCTTTTGGGCGTTTGTAGCCAGCTTTCCCTTCTGGAGTTTGGGAACCAGTTTCTTTCTGGTCGAAGCTCTTTGACTGAAAAGGACGTAAATGGGGACCTCCTACAGAACCTGTAGACTGTTTTTCAAAGAAATTTCTGGTTTATATTATTGAGGGTTAGGCGGAAGGACACAAAAAAGATTTTGCTTGCGAAAATCCGTGTTCGCGATATTGGGAAGGAACGTTTTAAGGAATTTTTTTTTACACACTTACATTGAGGCAAAAATGCCGATTTGAAGATCACATGAATATTGATAAAAGTATTAGTTAAAAAATAGAACTTTTTACAGAAGAAAAAGTTAAACACGTGAGTTAATGCATTAATATCGCATTCGCGAAAACCATTTTATATCCATGCTGAGACTCTGTTTTCCCTGCAAATAGCATGAGAATTATTTAATACACCTAACACTTCATAAAGCTAGATTGGTTAAATAGAATAATTGTTAACGCTATATAATCCTGTGATTAATTAATTATCGTCTTTAATTCTTCATGGTCAGTACATAAGAATTTCCTAGTTCTTTAAAAAAAAAAAAAAAACTAATAAAATTTTTTAAATTTTATCGCAGATTTAATATAAATCTAGTTAATAAATTCAAATAATAATTTATTCATTCATTATTGGAGTTCAATTTAAAAAAACAAACGATTCATTTCGCTCACTCCTTATATACATCATATATTCCTTAGGTGTGTCAAATGCTTATTTAATAATGCACGAATTATTTCGTTTTTAGTTCATCGTTGGCGATAGAACATGCCAACAAAATTTATTTGCAAAGTAATTAATTAATACAATTTAATACTTGACGATTCATATCGTTTATTAACTTATAATTTATAATAAATTATTACATTGCATTGCAGTATATTTAGATATGATAATTGAAATCTGAAGGTCCATTAAATGTTAATAAAATATCTTATGATGAAAAATAACTTTATCAGACATTTTAACATTTTTATTAAACTAAAGAGATTAAATTGATATCTTTTTTTTAATAGCATTAATTTTATAACTTATCATCAATATTTAACATTACTAAGTTACTCCTATTCAAAAAATCTCGCGATTTTTCGGCTATCAATGAACTTTTAGCCTTCGGCTTACGGCAACCTGTGAGGGCTGGGACAGTTCTTTGGCCAAATCGGCATGCTACGGCCGGAATGCGAATTGTTAGGAAATCAGCGATCTGCGCACCGTATTTGATCAATTTTCCACCGATCTTGATATCTCCAACGGTAAATCCTTTTGCGGCAGGAACCTCATATATTGCACGAACGTAGAGTTTATGAGTATCACTACCACGGACAAATTTCCAGTATTGATCTGGATCTGATTTGTCGGGTGTATCGAATGCGGAAGTGTCGAGAACGTTTAAATAAATCGCGACGGGGTTGCGGATAGTCACATCTGCAGCTTGACGGGCGAACCCGTTTACTGTGGCTCCAATATGTGGATCAGAAAACCTGTCAGCGCTTCCGTAACTGCCACACTTGATGAGTTCTTGCTCCGAAGTCAAGACACGTCCGTTAATAACGCGAACAACACTAGAACCACCACCGAGCTCAATTTCTGCCTCAAGCGTGTTGTTCTGTTGGATTAAATGAACGATGTTGCCAGTATTAGTATTGTTATTCCATTTGTTTTTTTGGTTATATTTCTTATTTGAACCAAAAAGATCCTCCTTTTTTACGGCTGGACCGATAATTGTCTTATACATTTCCAACAACTTGTCAGGATCTTTTTCAGCGATTAAGTTCCAATATTCGGGTCCTTCGCATGTGAATGTAACCCTTGTGATTTTTCCAGTTTTAGGATCCCTCAAAACACTCCATTCACAATATTCATCTTGAACATCACGTGATGAATCCGCAGTTTCCCAGCGTTTCTTGTCTGTGACAGAATTCTTTTTAACTTGATTCGGGAATGCAGTCCAAACAATATCAACTTCTGCTGCATCTTCGGATGTGAAAGTTGATGTGGGGTCGAAGTATTGCAAGCGTAAACCGTCAAAGGTATAGTCGTCTGGATAACCTTTGATGGCGTTTTGAGTCCACGTTTTCACTCGTTCGCTCCACTCTTGTTGTAGATCGGGATTCATATCGTTGAGATAAGCGGGTGGATCGAACCTATCTAGAATGTATGAATTCTTGGATGTAATCGAAAACTTGCCTAAATCTGAGAGAGTATAGTTCAGAGTAAGGCGAACCGTTCCTTGGGGAGTCATTTCTAATGATAGCGCATCACTGGCAATATTGTTATATGTTGGAAAGGTTAAGTCAAATTCGCTTAAAGGCTTGCGACGAAACATGCGTCTGCGTGAATTAGCAAGCTGAATAAGATCATCAACGCCATCTTGTTTTTGCAAATTCATCTGCAAGTTAGCAAAATACTGTTCAATAATCTCTTTACAATTTTTCTTCAAAGCTTCATCCGTTAGATTCCAATAAAAAAGGAAAACAGTTTCAACGCAATCTTTTGAGGACTTGATAGCACCACTTTTAATATTTTTCACGATATTTTCAACGAGATCATAACTTTTTGTGTTGTTGTTGTAATGTGCAGTATCAGGAATGTATTTCATCAACCTAAATCGACACTTTGAGTCTAACGGGTTACAAAAATCGGTCATCAACAGGCATAGAATAAATTTGGGGCTCAGCAATGCGGGCACCTCAACCTTGTTCATTATTCTTCTGTTAAGAAGCGTCGAAAGCAGAGAAGTGTCTTCAAAAGCAGGTTCTGGAACGGGGAATGCAAACATACCATCACCCTGTTCAATGACTTTATCATCATCCTTTAAACACACTTGATACTTTTTTATGCTGTTCAAATACATATCCGCATTAACTTTGATTGGTGAAAGATCAGGGTCTATATAATCAGAAAGTTGGTTAATCATGTCGATGTTTATGAAAAATGACGAGGGAATGATCAAAATATCTTGTGACATGATAGTGGAATACTCTTTGTCAATTGCGATTATATTGTATGTGGTATTGTCAATAACCTGTCTCATAAACTCTGTGACATTATTAACATTAAGGGAAGTTTGATCCGTAGCGTTATCCAATCGAATAGTATTCCATTCCGAAACGGCATCTTTGACGATATGCTCAAGTTCAACTGCATCCAACCGATTTTCGAATATAGGTTCATGCCTAAGTGGACTTTCAGGATCGAGACAATCATTAATCGTAAACATTTGAGAATGCCAATGTAATCAAGGCCTGTTAAGTTCTTTCATCACCAAAGCACCATTGACGTGCCCATCAAAGGGTCCCTTGCCGCGAGTCGGATCTTTGAGCGCATGCCACGAATTTCCAAGCCACCACCATTCATTTTTGTTGTTTCGTTGATAAAAGTTAAAGGCGCGATGAGTGTTACTCCAAGCTGCCACTTGCAAAAATAATTCATCAGAATCCAAAACCGGTGAAGAAACGACAAAGATTAAGTCGATTGGTTGTTTTTGATCTTTGTTAGTTTGACAAGTGATTAAGAAACGTAATTGTCGATTAATATCTTTAGTTGCTTGTGACCAGGAAATATGTGCTCCATCGGCGACCACAAACGATTTTTGTTTTGTATCTGAAAGAGTTATATTCAGAAGTTGACGTAAGGTAAAAATTTTTTCAATGGGTAAATTGCCATTCCACAATTCGACCAATTTCTTGCCAAAATGATCATCAAATATCTCCAAGTCATCCTTATTAACGGGAATAGGTTCCGAGTTCAGGCCGTGAACAAATCGAAAGAACCATTTTCCGTCTTTAATATTTTTCGTCATTACCGAAAATTGATTAACGGGACATCCACCATGTGCAACATTTCTCTTTTCATTGAACGTCGACAAGTGAGTATGAACCAGAATCAGCTTCGCGACAAATTGTTCAATATCTGAGGCGTTCAAAATAAAATCTCCACTACTTATTATTATTTTGAGGGAGCTATCCTTAAAAGGAAGAATGATGGTCTCGTTAAACTTGGCTTTATAAATTTGATACTCCAAGAGATCCGTGAGGTTGTTGTTAAAGGTAGGACGTACACGCGTCTCCAACTCGACGGAGACCTTAATCGCGTTAACGTCAGCAAGACGTTCTCTTGCTATGAGAGGAACTTTGACCGAAAAGGAGGTATTGGTATTAATTGATGGAAGTATGTCCCAAAAGAAAAGCTTGTCGCACGAGAAGTTATCATTGTCGCTGAAGATTACAAACTTTAGTTTGACATCAGCGACTTTTGAAAAGTTGTTATCGATATTTATTTGACCTGTAATAACAGACATCATCAGATTTACTGTATAATTAGAAAAATTAGAAAACGAACCTTTTATATAGGTTTATTATCCGGAACTACAAAATCTCATCTAATAAACCATTCTTGTATTGCATGCATGTGTATGTAATTATCTTCTTTATGGAAAAATCACATTTTTTTTTTTTTATTCACATGCTAGTTTTAGGATGTATTTTTAAGGAATTCCAATGCCTTATTATTATTAACGATAGAAAGTGGGTAAGTAGGTTACCAAATTCAGTTACATCTCTGTCCAAAATTATTTATGATTTTTTGTATATTGCCTGTAACAATGATGACGATAAATCAAACTTATTAAATAAAAGTTGTCTTTTTTTATGACGAATTATCCCTTAAATGGTTAATATAAAATTACGCATCTAATGGTGAATCTTCACGGTCAAAAATCATGTGAGCGCTTCACAAACTTTTCTAAAGATGTCAAAAGTCAGCATTCTCTGATCCACTGCAAGAGGAATTAAAGCTGATATTGTCTTCAGTGAGAATGTTCTGTCTTTATTGGAGAACATTAAAAAATTTTCGCCCGAATATTTCCATTATTTCTCCGTGAATTACGTCATGAAAATGAGCCTTTCACGGAAAAAACATGGAAAACAAAACACGGATCAACTTTTTTTATAGGGAGGAGACTTGATAGGAATCGATAAAGATCAATTAACATAATGCATCGCCTCAGTAATGAAAACAACTAATTGTAACGTTAGGGATTTTCATGTTCTAAAAACGGAAGACAATGGGTAAGCATTTTTGTCATTGACCAGTCCGCCAGAGTTCCTTAATATCACATTAATCAATTTTTTTTTTTGAGCTTTAGACATGTTGACATGTTCATTTAAAAAATGAAAGTTGTGCGGAATTTTCTACAATAAAGTTCAAGGACAAGACTTTTTTTGCCAATTATATAAGGGTGAACTTTTAGCATCAAAAACACGTGGGTTAAAAATTTCAACTGTATACAAAATACTTGAAACATCAGCAACCAAAAAACAACACTCCGCTTCCACACCTGCTTCCACACATTCAGCTTCCACACATTCTACTTTCACACAATCTATTTCCATGCAATTTACTTCATTAATTGAAATGTACTACAGATAAGCTTCTAGAATTTTTACAAGATAGAAATTAAAAAATCTAAATCTTAGCAATAGCTTTTTGAAAAAATTAGGGAAAAGATTACGGTCATGACTTTTTAAAACTAACCAAAAAAAACCTTAAAAAATGTGGGACCATCATTAGAACTTGACGATTATATCTGGGAACTAGTTGATCAATAAAAACAGTGTAATTAAAGAATGATTATTTATGCATGATTTCAGAAAGATATCTATTTTATGTGTAATTAGAAAACTAACATTTAATCAACCAGTTGTAACATCAAAAATAACTGATAAGTAAATTCTGAAACACAATGAGTGCTATTTTTGCACTTTTGTAATCATGTTGTACTGCAAGACAATATAATGATTGTAATAATAAAGCATCCTGTTTCTCAGCAAATATTTTTTTTTCGTGGTATGCGTGATCATTGCAAAACTTGAATGTCTCTTGATCTTTGTTGACAATCCAATTTTTGTCTCGATCAAAAATATTAACATGCAGATGAAAATAATTTGGTTTTTGAGTGCCTAACATTTATTTGTAAATACATTGATACCGGACACACCAATAAATACAAAGGATCAGGACGTAAACATAATACACGTCTTTATCAGTATTTATTATACTTTTTATTGTAGTTTAAACTCAATCCAAATTTTTTATTTAATTATTTTATTTTTATTGATTATATTAGTATTTAATTATACTTTTTACTGTAATGTAAATAAACCACATTTTTTATTTATAAATCAAAAATACTACTAAAGTGGATAAGTTTTTTTTGAATTTCTATATTTTTACTATAATTTAAAACTTTTAAAAAGAAAAAGATATTTTTCGATCCTTGTTTCTTTTTGCTTGTGACATGTCAACCTTTTACTCGGTCTTCCAACGATCATACAATAATTTCTTTACCACGATATCTTAATTCGGTATATCAACAAGAGTGAGTGTCTTCGTCGAATGAAATATGGTATGTCTTTTGAGTACAATAAATGCAATCCGTTGTATTGAATAGGCTTACATTCAAATGCTTCTTTGGCTTTTCTTTTTTTAAAAAAAATTTACCATGTTCGACTGAAATAAAAAGTATCGTTTTAAACCATGTTAACATAAATTTTTAATGGGATATTTACTTTTCATGAAGCTTTGCATTGTACGATATTTTGCAATAAATCCAATTTTTTTCACAACAGTAATGCACAGTTTAATTGCGTAAACAAGGTGACTCTCCTTTTGAGTAAATAACTAATGCATGCAGAATTAAAGATATGTATTCACATTGCATTACTTCATTACAATCAATTACCGGGCTCATGGTCTCTAACATTGGGTTTGTCTTCTACACAGAAACATAAAACTGAGCTTTATCATCGAGTTTATAGAGGTTTAAAATACTGTAAATAATAAAAGAACGTATTGATTAAGTTTGCCCGGTTTCAGGTGTTTCAGAAATATTAAATTTAATATATCTGTGATGTTATATCCATTTAGTTTATATATTTTTAACACCTCTCAGGTCTTCCATGGTGTAATACGATCTTCTCCGGTAATCTTTCATTATTTTATTTATTTTTAATTTTTTTTTATTATGTTATTTATTTATTCATTTTTATAATATGCTTTCTTATTTTAAATTTTAAATTTAATATTTTATTTAATTAATTTAGTTTTTTTTTTTTATACAAATAGAATAAATATATGGGATGAGCCCTTTGCAGTAGGAAAAGGTATTGAAATTCCGAAAAAGTCACATGTATAGTTTGGTGTTTTGAAAGATCTCACAAAATCTTAGTTACCGAGGAATTATTTAAAAGCATATTAAAGAAATTATTTCTATAAAAAAAAAATAATTAAAAGGAAAAAAAAAAAAGATGCTTTTACATTATTGAAAATGCTTGCTTTAAATTTTAGAAGCGAATAATTTTGAGTTTAATTCCTTTTGAGTTTTAAAACGCGAAATGACAATAAAAATTTGTATTATATTCGGGGGAATGTATTGTGATACGACGCCGCAGTAAAATACATTACGGATAATTGAATATGCATTGCAATGTTTTACAAATTAAAAAAAAGTTCTTTTAATAGAATCAACCCAAAGAATTGAGATTTTTTTTGTTAGCCAAATATGGTTCCTTTCGGGAATTATATCTATATATATACAAACATTCTAAAAAAAATTTATTTTATTGATAACATACAAGTTTCGGGTTATGTATTGTTTTTTCCTTTCTGTTACACGACGCAAATTACGGCATCCGTAACTTTAACAAATTCGTTACATTTAATCATTTGATGGTATAGTATGATAATAATACAACAATGGAAATATATTTATATAAATAATTGTTTTTATGAGGATATAAAAATCTCAATATTTTGGATCATTCTTTACTCCAACTTTGAAAAAAAAAAAAAATAATAAAAAATAACAAAAAATTCGTAAAGAACATTTACTAAAAAAAGGATTGGGTAATCACAAAAAAATATGACAACTTTATCATCAAGTTTGTATTTTACCTTCCACGCTTGGATTTCTTCACATTATACTCTTGACCACCAATCCTTACAAAATTTAATTCATTATTTAACACTCTTGCAAGAACTTCATCGTAAGAGTTATGAATTTAATACAGAATTCTACAATTCAATTCAAAAACACATTGATGAAATCATAAAATCCGATAGTGATCAAAGGAATAGCGAAATTATTGAATATAAAGATGTTCAATTTAATGAATTATTGAAATTTGTTTTAATTGAAATAAAGGATCAAGCAGAATTTGGAGAGGAGTTGAGCATTGATAAGGGGAGGGAGAAGGATAAGAGAAAAGAAGGAGTTGCCTCGTTGGATGATGGAAGAGTCATTGAATTCGACGAGGATACATGTTTAACCGAGAAATCCTTGAGTTATTCTACTTGTGCCACATCGAAAAACTTTCCATTAACCGTAATGAAACGATTTTATCCAAAAAGGGTCTTTGAATATTTAAATGGTTATGAAGATAATTTTTATAAATTAATACTTAAAAAACAACTTGAAATAATTTACGAGGTAGGAGATATCTCACAAAATATCGAATCATTAAGGAACTTATTGGCAAAGGATGACCAATTTTCAAAAAAAGACGCATCGTTATTCCTGATAATAATTTATTCAACTTATCAACTTTTAGAAAAACTGGAAAAATTTGGTATTAAAACAAACATAGATCTAATATATAGTTTAGGTATTTTCATGAAAAAGATTAAATGTATTACTTTAGATTTGGTTAATCAAGAGGATTTGGTGGATGAGCTGGATGAGCATTATAAAATTAATTTAATTAAATTTTCATTATCTTCGGTGGTTGTCATTTTTTTTCAATTATATTTCTTTAGTTTATTTTTAAATGATTGCGTCGCATTTTAAAAGATATATATTTATTTTTTTAAAAATAATTATTGAGACACGATTTATTTGTACATAAATTATAAAGCAAAGATTATTTTTTGTTGAAAAATAGAACGTAATAATAATAAAATAAAACAAAATAAAATTATAATCTAAATTCCTAACCACTTATAAATCCCCTCAATAATATCATGATGTTTGAGCGAACCTTTATAAATATCAAAATTCAACCCGTTAGATATTGCCCAAATTTTCTTCCAAATAGGATCAAATACATCGTCGAAATCACTTTCCAGAGGAAACAGTGGAACTGTAATCATGATATTCATCGTAAATCCCAAACATTTAATCACCCTCAAGATAACGTTCTGCAATTCATTAATCATTTCTTCATTTTTCGCATTTTTGATTTTATTTCCTTCTAAATACTTTAGAGTATTGATTAATTTTAACAAGATGTCTATTTTAAAATAATTGATGCTTATGAATGGATCTTTGAGAACGTCATGTATTGGTTTAAATAACTCTATATTTTTCCATGAAAGGTATTCGGGAGATGATAAAATCTCTTCTAATGTTTCTTTTTTAAAAGATAATCTTTGGTAAATTTTTATGACGCTTTTCTGTCGTTTGGTATATTTGTAAAATATTGAAGATGAATTTAATTTTTCGTACATTGGACGATAATTGGTTAATGACGACATTTTATTGGTACAAAAGTTGTTAAAAAAAAAAGGTAATATTTCAAGGGCTTCCTTAGAATTATTCCTTCCCAAGCTTTAAAAGAGAGTTGTGGGAAAATAAAGTTGAAAAGGTAAATCAGATCAATGACGTCGATTAAGAATTTATAAAGGAATTCCTTTTTAACGATCAATTTCTAAAATGAGTAAATTGAAATTTTTTTGACGGAAAAGGTTTGTTTGATACAAGTGTGAAAACGAATAATTTTAACTATTAATGTTTAAATAAACTTCGAAGATATCGGAGTTTATTATTCCAAATATGTATCCGATAGCTTGACTATTAGAATAATTCCATCAAGATCAGTTTTCATAATCGGATTATATCCAATTATTGTTAGTAATAATAACCGGACAAAATTAATTATGGCATTTATTGAGAATCCGATTTAAGAACATGTATCGGTTCCTCCTTCAATGTAAATCTGTTCATCATAAAACACTTTGCAAGATTTCAGTATAACCAATCAATAGAATCGAATAGCCAGAAATGTGCGTTAAATGTTAACGATTTTTTTTCTAAAATGTAATACGACAAATTTTTATATTAACTTATCGAAGGATTTTTGATTATTACCTTTCGCGTTTTAAAATTAATAAAAATAATCAATTGATACTCATGTAAGCCCTAGTATTGAAATGCTTTTTAATAGATTCTTATTGAATCTTAAAAAACTTTTCTTTACTCAGTAAAATATATCTATAAAAAAAAAATTTTTTTGATATTAAAAATTGATACTCGATGATTGATTCAATACGTTCGATTAATTATGAGCATATAAATAATTATAAGATTGGACTAGATTATAGTACTTAAAAATAATAATAAAAATTAGTATAGTTTCGTCTTTCTAGTATTGTATATTAATGCACGAAATTTCGACGTTCTGCCTTTTTCTCAAGGTACGTCCGGCCCTGAAGAGCTGGAATTTAAGGACCTCAAATGCTGTGTTCTGATTTAGGCTGCGATCAACAGTATTTGGATCATCACTATTACCACTCACTCGTGATGTCAACAGTTTTGAAGTTGAGAAATTGTTAAATCATTTCTATACTGCTCTTAAATTACGTTAAAAGCTATTCATGATGGGGAGGAGCAAGTTTGTGTTAAAATGTACTAATAAAATTGCGTCTAGGGAAAATACGGTCGAGTGCCGCTGAATTTCGTAATATTTAGGAGAAATAATTGCATGGAAGTGAAGATGATTTTGATAAAGACGTGGCGCAGACTACGCAACTTTGTTCAGTGGAGGTAAAGTACCTTTTAACAACTTACGAATTATCATTGATAGCCTTAAGTGGTATTTTTTCGAGTGCGAACGTCTAAATAAAGTACAATATAGTTGATCGATTTGTGCAATTAATTATAAAAGGCATCTTGAATTATTTGATTCCATTTCTTAATGATCTATATATGATTGTTAATTTTTAAATCAAGCTTTACAGTGATCAAAAAAAAGAAAAAGTTGATTATAAGTTTATGCACTATGCAGACTATTGCATTTTACGCCGATTGTTTAATTTCTTTCATATAGTATGATTTCCGAATAACCAACACAATCATTTTAAAGTATGAGGAGGAAGATCCTTTCAAAATGAAAATAATTATAAATTGAATCTCACATCCTTCTCGGAATACTCAAAAAAAAAACCTTCGAGAAGTGATTTTATTCCTATAGCAATAGCAATGCAAGGACGATCCTTCCAAAATAAAATGGTTTTTTTTTTTTACTGCGTCTTGGATTGGTGTTATAAATATAACCCTACTCCCATGGAATTCTCAAAAATAAAAAAAAAGAAATTACTCCAATCACAATACGCAGTAATAACATCTATGTCATAAACCGATAATTCATTTGCTACTTTATACACTTTATATTTATACAGCTGCTCCTCAAAGATTGTGATATTCACTCACAAGACTTTAAGGTTCATACTGTAATTGCTCTGGAGGATTTCCTATGTATCATGAATTGAATAATTCAAAATTTCATTATAACAGGATAGGCTCAAAGATTGTGGCATTTCATATAATGAACCTCAAGACTATAATGTTCATTCTGAAATTGGCTCTGGAGGATTTGCTTCGGTTCATGATGCATTTTGGAAATCTACTCAAACAAAATTTGCAATTAAAACCTTTACCAATAAATCTACGAATGAAATGATTTTACACGAGGTTCAATATTATTAGTGTAGTTTATACAATTTTTGATAAAGTTATTTAAATTATTTTATTTTCCTAGATTATTATAATGGGAATGATGAAATTTTTTGGTTTTCATCCTAATATAATTAATTTATGCAGTGTCACGAAATTGCAAGGTAAAATAATAATTATTGAATTATTACTTTTAATTTTTAGTAATTTTTGTTCTTATATATTATTTTTATTCCTTAGGTGAAGCAAATCATTCGCTTGTTCTTGAATACGCAGACGGTGGAACATTAGGAAAATATTTAAGGGACAACGCGTTGACTTTTAAATGGGAAAGTCAATTGAAATTCGCTAATGAAATTGCAAGTGCGATCCTGTGGTTACATGATAATGGCATTATACATCGAGATCTCGTAAGTTATTTAATTATTATTTTATATTGTTAATTGTATATACTATTAATGATTAATTTTTATTTTTATTGATTATTTTAGCATTCCAATAATATCTTAATCCACCAACATACGATAAAATTAGCAGATTTTGGATGTTCATGTCTAGGATCAGATTTTTCGTCCTAAAGAAACATTTGGTGTAATACCTTATGTGGATCCTAAAATTTTTGAAAATCCTTCACATACTTTAACCAACAAATCTGATATATATAGCTTAGGAGTATTATTCTGGGAATTAACGAGTCGTTCATCGCCTTTTAATTTTGAAAAGACTTCCGATCGTACTATTATTTGTTCACTCATTCTTGACGGTATAAGACAAGATCCTATTAAAAATACAAATGGTAATTTCGTTAAGCTTTATCAACGTAAGTGTATAATTATTGTATTCATTTTTTAGAATTATTCTATAATCTATCTTAAATTTATTTTATTTGATTTAGAATGTTGGAAGCATGATCCAGATGAACGACCAGATATTTATCAAGTAATTTCAAAGCTTAATAGCATTAATGAGAAAAGTGATGTATTAGAATATTTAGACAATGATGAAGACTCTATAAACTTCTCTTCTTTTAATTATTCTGCTTTAAATATAGATTGTGACGTGAAAAATTATGATTATTAGATTGTTCATATTATTAATTAAATTATTGAAAAGAGATTTATAATTTATCGTCATGACGTGATATATCAAATGTCATGTATTTCATATCATGCAATTTTACGTAAATGTTGATTACCGAAAATACAATTTACAAGTAAACGCAATTACTGACTCTTACATTTTTTTTTTTTTTTTTTGTTTTGGGGGTTCATGAGCCGATTTAATTCTCTTGTTCCCATTGGATGACCTTTACCATGATGAGGCTTTGATACAAGAAATATGGTAATCAATACATCAAACATGATCAAATCCTAATATTTTAGCGGCTTGTGCCGCTGCTGCTTCTGCACCTTCGGCGCAGCGGTCACCTGACAGCCTCGAGCGGTTAATTTATAACCATTCATATTAATACTAATGTCTAACCCTAATTCTAACCCTAACTCTCAAAATCTAAATCCCAACACTAATCTAAACACTAACTTTTACCCTGAATGAACATTAAAAAGAAAAAACAAACCTGGGTCATAAGAGCCATCAATATCAATGAGAGTCATTCATAATTAAATTCATAAGGAATGTCAGTCTGCTGTTGTAAAAAGTTGAAAATTACTTAGTAAAGTTTAGTTTCGTAATGTGAAAAGGATAGTAAAGTTTGTTTCGTAACGTCAAAAAAAAGAGAAGTTGAAGGAAATAAAGGAAATAAAGGAAAGCGAAAGCGTGAGAAAGTTTAGATGATGATAATTATGATTCATTTTTATTAATAATGATCAAATTACGCGATAAATTATTTAAAATCTAAATTTTAAATGAAAATGAGCTTTGAGATCTAAAGTTGGGACCAGGCCCTAAATTTCAAAAAATTAAAATTTATGGATTTCCCCGTATCAGTTTATATTTTGATAATGTTTTTATGCTGATAATATATAAAATAAAAAATTATATATAAAAAAGTATATTATTAATTAATATATTATCGATATCATTAGAAAGTAAAATATGACGCCAGTACAAAATAAAGATCTTCTCTAGAACTGGCAAATTTATTTAGACATATTAAGAACGTTTAGGACTCCTATTTGACTTTATTTCTTAAGATTTTCTAACATATCTAAATAGTTCGGCACCTAGAATTTTATGTTCATTTTGAAGAGTACACGGGATAATAGACTGATTTGTTTTTATCGGGATAGAAATTCAACACGAGATTCTATAATGTTTATTAACAGAAGATATATTTTCTATTAAAAGGGATCAAATATCTATTAAGATATTTGGGTAGTGATCTAAGAAAATCAAGTTCTGAGAATTTTTTATCAAAATTGAGATTTTAATTGCATCTTAATTTTTATTACATTTAGGCTAAAATGTAATAAATATTAATTTTAGTCAAAAATTTCTCAGAACTTGATTTTCTTAGATCACAACCCATTTTATAAGCTAATATTATAATTCTTCAAAAGGAAAATTTCTTGCCATCATAATTAAAATCTTCCTGAATTAATGCTACTTAACGTAACTTTTGTGTGTCGAAATTAACGATTTCTGATCGCTAAGTCTTTAAAACTCTTTCCGATATCTTGATGTTCCTGATTAATCATGGCAGAAGTAATTTATTTCAGCAATTACATGCTAATTTTGCTTTTTATATGAAAATCAGGGAATAACAATTGACCGGAGTTCCATGATATGATAATACTTACGTAGTTAATTCAAATGGAGGATGTATTCTGGATTGTGTGTGTAGGTTAGGTACTTTATATTCCCCTGTAATGTGAGTAAAAGATGACTTAAGTACTGTTACATACATAAATTCACTTCGATGTGGAAAGACAAAATATGAACGGAAAATAATTTCCGAGTCGTGTTGCAGCTGCAAAATCGTTACCATCACTGTCGTAGATGATGATATTTACTTCTCGAAATTTCAGGGCTCTTAAAGCAAGTTCCTGGTTATTTTGCGTAAGAGTAAAAGATGGTTGTCGTGATGAGAGATCGAAATTACCTATTCTTGGCACCGCTACAAAATATATCAAAAGGTAGTTGATCCCTTTTATCTGCTTCGTGTAAAAATCAACAAAAAAAATCAAATAGAACTAATCAAACTTACCCGTGAATGACCCGGGTGATTTGAATATGATATGAATAATTTCTAAACGTTTGTTAATTGAGTCCAATAGCATAATTTTTTAAGTTTAATTAGTCAAACAGTCAATGCTCATTGCAATCGTAAATACAAGGCTCATATCAATTTTGTTTCATACCTTGTTTCAATTACACTAATCTTCAATAGCAATACATTCATTTTTGAATAAAATCTTATTTATACAGAGATTATAATTTGTTAATGTGCATCTAATAATGTTAAATAAAGTATGCATTCGTGCAAAAAATAAATTCATTCCACAAGTGATTTATCTATTAAATCGAAAAAAAATATTAAATTTTCTTCTTTTAACGAAAACAATTGGATATTTAAGAACAAATAATCCCATTACAAAAATTTTGAGCCAAATATTTTGTGCTGGCAAACATAAATTATAAATATACTTTTTTTAAAAAGCAAAATATAATATGTTTGTATCATCATCACGTTTATCAATTTACGAATCATACTTCGCAATGTTTTTTTTTATCCTTATTGAAATAAGTTTTTAAATAATATTTTATTTTTTATAAAAAATAAATTGCCTGTCAAATCAACTCTTTTATGTGTAACAAATTTTTAAATGGTGCCGTGAATTACTAACGGTAATAACATTTTATATTAAAAATAAACTGCATCCCTAATATTTTAAAATATATATATATATATATTTCCCCTGCGTACCTATCAAAAAATGTCACGGCTCCCGCATTAAGATTTTTGCAGGCCCATAATAAATGATCATGCGCGCAGTGCATCACATACTGCGGCAAGATCTTCATACCTCGACAATATGTATCACATTTCATTCTGTTAAGTTAATTTTGAAAATAATTTTTTTTTTATTACAATGTCTAATAATAACAATATAGGTAAAAGAGTAATAAAAAAAACTTCAAAATATATTCATCATTAAACAAATAGGTATGAGGTTTAGTTAGACAACGGATGAATGATATTCGAATTTTTTTTTTTTTATCTTAAGTGATGATATAATTCGTTTATTTACTAAAAAATTAATAAATTTGAAATATAAAACATGAAGGTAAATACAATAGCAAATATATTGTTCATTTATTATCTGTTAATATTAATCAATTTTTGTTCAAAATATAGGAGGTAAAGAACATTTATAAATTATTTATATACCTTAGTAATTAATTTTCTTAAAATAAATAAATAATAATGATAGAGCCATTTTTAGATGCTTTGAATGCCCCTACATTAAGAGAATTACATGGTATAAACATTTATTTATTGTTAATTCAAACAATTATTTACCTTTTTTTTATAAAAAAAAATTAATTTATTTATTTAAAACTTAGAATGTAGGTCATTTTATGTTATATAATCTAGATAAACTTTTTATTTAACCGATATCTAATGATCAATTATACTATAGGGAGTAAGTTATTTTTAATTTTATATTAAATTTAAACTTAATAATTTAATTTAAAAAATTTTCAATGGTATTATTAGTCGGTAAGTTATTTTTATTAAGTGTATACTGCTGTATTGTACTTTTAAATATACTTTATAATAATTCAATTCTATATAAA